ACCATTAATACTTATCTTAGCATTAAAACAATCAACCATTTGTGGTTATATTGAAATCTGTAAAAGACGCATTCTTTTTGAATATATTTTTAAAAAATTAATAAATGGAAAAAAACATATTATTAACGCTTTTTCAACAAGCAATTGTTATACTCTTAGTGATTTGTAGAGCGTCAAATCACAATGTTATTGTACTGTTTTAAATTGTAGATTTTATTCATTCATGTAAAACATTTATTACAATTTTATAATAAAATGTATAAAACACTGAGTTCGAGATTCAAATCACAAATCCATCCAAGCTAGGATACTGCAAATCCGAATATTTTTGTTTATAAAATATTTACTTTCCATTCAATAAATATTCCAGTCATCTAGTTTTGGATTTGGGGAAATTCATTCTCCTTTTCCCATATATACAGATTGCCGTATTATTTAATAATCAAACCAAACAGCATGTAATCAAAGAACGCTTGTATCCGCCATATGTAATATTGTCACGTGACATTGTTATGTTTTGTTTCGCTCGGGAAGCGTTTATTATACATAATAGAACTCCAGTGTAGTAAGCCATAACTATGAACAATATCATGTCCCAAATAAATAATCTAATTTGTAGATCTGCAATTGGTCACATGATGGTCCGAACATTATTTGTATGGCTCTATTTGTTGACAGCAAATACCGCTAATAATTATCTTGGATAAAATACCTCGTTTAGTAAACGAGGCAATTTTACCCAGCCTCGTTCTGAACAAAATACCTCGTTCCAAAAACAGGGCAATTTTAAAAAAAAACACGTTTTGGAACTCCAGAGAAACGAGGTATTTTTTTTTACCTCGTTATAACGAGGCAAAATCGGGGCAAAAATTTTGACACGTTTTTGCCTCGTTTGGACAGAAATGCCGAACGAGGCATTCTGAGGTTTATAGTGATACACCACTACGGGTTCTTCGTCGCAGAAGACAATAACGTCGGCATCGTCTGAGATGGAGGACTCCATAACCGGAACTGGCACATCGTATCGGGTTTCGGCTGTAAACGATTCCTTTACTTCCATAGGTTCAGTTGTTGGGACCTCCATAACTTCTTGTTGTTCGTCCATATCTTCCGTCTGCTTATTAGATTTAAGGTTGTTTTTTTAAACATAAATTAGATTACAATTCAACTAACACAAAAGTGTAAAAAGATTTTTTTCTAGTCTGTGCCCGCGTTTATGTCTACTCTTGGCAAAATCGTTATAATATAAAAAAAATCATGAAACAAGAATCAAAATGGCCGCCAATCGGGTCTCCAACGCCAATCCAACCTCCCAAGATATAATTTCAAAACAGATTCTTACCTGCTGGTTCAAGTCGAACCGTTTCTGATTCTGTAATGTAAGTATTTGAACAACATCGTAGCGCCGAACAACTAATGTTAATTAAGCATGATTTCAGAAAAATTGAACAGATTTGATAATAACATGCCGAAATTTTTTTCCTGACCGCGCCATATTATAAACATGAACTTCCGGTTTAAATTGTTGGAGTTTTTTTTAAGGAAACGAAATACTAATATTATACAGAGAAACAATATCGATGCTAAATTACATACATGGTATTATTTTTTTTATATAAATATTCACAAACCTGCGGTCTTGTATTCTATGTGACCATTAGCTTACATTTGTCAAACATATCACTGCTCCAAAATCATTTCAGCACGTTGTTAAATGTTAAATTAATTGTGTGAAATCACTTCATTTAATGTCCGCTTCCACCGAGATGATATCGCAGACAAAATGTAGCCTATAGTACGTTGATTTTATCAACCAATCACATTCAATAACAGTTTTACTTATTTTCTTGTCAACGATTGTCTGCGATATCACCTCGGTGGAAGCGGACGTAAAATACAACAAACTACTACTACTCTTGTCAACGCATTTGGAGTCAATTGTTAAAATCACACCGGGCATGAGCGCTCAACAGGCCTTTGATCTACCAGTTTAGTGGGCCCAACTTTATTTTAACTACAGACATCTTAACGCCAATTAGCATTCAAGTCTGTCTGGCTATATTGTCTGAGTAAAAAATACCTTTCTCTTACTTGTGGACCCCCGGATTAAGACTTTGTATGGAGTTCAAATTTAAAAAAAAAAATATTTGTTGACGGTACACATTACTTGTGTTAATTATATGGAAAAAACACAAGATTTGTGTTAATGCATTAAAAAGAACACAAGTTTGTGTTAATGCAATGCAAAACAACACATAACTTGTGTAGAATAATTTTCACACAAGTTCTTGTGTTGAGATCCAACACAAGTTTATTTTCAGTGTACACATTCCTACAGAAAACTGTACTGACCCAATTTCCAAACTACAGAATACTACAGTATTCTTTCCTATACATACATGCAAGTGTAGAATTTCCTACAGAAAGTGCAATAAAAAAAAATCTATGGAATACTATAGTATTTCATAGTTTTACTTCATAATAAGAGTACCGGTAAGGCAGTTTCGCGGCTCTCTGTCACACTTTCCCGCATATAGCCTTGTTCCGTAATAGATCATGGTTAGGACTGTAAATGGCGCTTTCTAGCGTATATCCTGAGTATATTTCTAGCTTATGAACAAATTTATTGTGTGTCAATCTTACCTATTCATCAAAAATGACGTAAATTTAATTTAAAAATGGCCAATCGAGACTATGTTTTTTTTTATCGTACCGACTTTAGTAATGATGATCGAGGCTAGGCCAAAAATTCATCGCTAAAATCTCGGTCCAGAGTGGATCAATTTGACTGAAATTTTCAGCAAATTCCCTTTACATTATCTAGTTTTTAACTATTATATAGAGAACTGTCAGCTCTTTATCTAATCTCACAATGTATCTTTAAATGCGTATTTTCATAAACTTGTTATGCAGATAGATGTTTATGTGGAAGGTCCAACTTATTCGTTGGAATATTTAATTTTACAATTGTGCTTAATTGGGGGTGATTTCAAACACAACGGTAAGTTCTTAATAACCATAAGTAAGTAGTTTGTTCTTACGGCCAAGTCCTTTTCTTTTAAGATGGCTAAAGACAGTAGTTCAGTTTTCACCGAGGTGGAAACTTTGAAAGTAACAAACTAAAATACAATTATTGGATGTCCTATGTTAGCCCGTGTGTTTTACACTAAATAAAACATTATCTACCTGTACATCTTGTTCCGGGTCTCAACTGTGTTAATGTCATAAGCTGAACCGTAGTCACGAGTGTTTTAAGACGAAAAGCTGTATAGTCTATTCAGGAAATTCTTTTATAAACGAGCCTGTGAAATCCTACTATTTTCCCATTGAACTTAACCTAGTCAGTAAACTATATATATTGGTCCTAATAAACAATTGACACTGCCTCTCGAGTCGACACCAGACCGTTCGCGTTTTGAATCGAGTTGGTCACATGACTGACTCGAGTCGCATCACGTGACTAACCCGTTTACTCCCGTTGAGCGGAGAGTTAAAGGGTTTGTCACGTGACAAAATGGCGTCCTATACGCAAAAAGGCCTGTCTCTCGATTACATACTGACGTCGTAGCTGTTTTGATGTCATGTGACTACTCGGACCGTTCGGGATGTTTCACCCGGGTAAACTCGGCAATGGAGTCGACTCGAGTGACGCGAGTAAACGACGAAAACCTTACCTTGCCTGGCAGCCGCTGGTTGTATAACAGAATAACAGGGTACATGTACATTAAAATTAAAATTCTGAATCTATAAAAACGTGAAACGTACCTAGGCCTATAGTTGTAGTTACCTAGCTTCAATTTGACAAAGTGGCGTAATACTGATAGGGGAAAATGTGAACTTGTTGCTTTTGTAGCGAAATATAAGTGCAATTTGTCTGAAATCAATGACAAATAATAATTTCTATAAACATTTAATACATCATAATGCACATCTTCATTATCTCGGTTGATACTGAACAGTAAGAGACATTAAACTCCGCTTGATTTTTTTCTCTTGCCACTCCCTTACAGAATTATTTAGTGTTTGCCATAATATGTCTATTTTAGTTAGAAAATTACATATTTATCGATGATTTGTTTCAGTTCAAATATTTGTTAGGAATTTAGCCTCAAAACTTATTTGAACTAAAGGTTTACAGATACTAGTAGAAATGCTGTAACGGGAGAACTTATACAGCCCCTTGTTGGTTATTCAATCCGATTTAGTATGTTGAATCAAATATCGTTTCAACTATTTTTACGTCCCATCCGAAAGTTTGGGCGCTGCCCTTTCCACCCCCACCCTGTACCACAGCCAATTAAAGAAATCATAACTTTACTAGAGGTTTACAGCTAAATGTAGTAACAATACTGTACATTCTAATTTAGACTGTGTGCCATGATAATATTTACATACAGGTTTAGACTGTGTGCCATGATAATATTTACATACAGGTTTAGAGTGTGTGTCATGATATTATTTACATACAGTTTAGACTGTGTGACATGATAATATTTACATACAGGTTTAGAGTGTGTGACATGATAATGTTTATAGGTTTAGACTGTGTGCCATGATAATATTTACATTTAGGTTTAGACTATGTGTGCCGTGATATTATGTATATAAAGGCTTAGATTATAACACCCCCTGTGTCATGATTTACATATAGGTTAAGACTATGTGTGTCGTGATAATATTTACATTTAGGTTTAGACTGTGTGCCGTGATAATATTTACATATAGGTTTAGACTGTGTGCCATGATAATATTTACATTTAGGTTTAGACTATGTGTGTCGTGATATCATGTATATAAAGGCTTAGATTATAGCACCCCCTGTAAAATATGGGATTACCGTTAAAAGTGTCTTACTTTAATTAACTAGTGAAAATTGTGACAATTCGTCCACTGTCTGCTGACACGATTTTCATTTGATCTTATTCAGATTGATAAAAGGAAGGCAGCTATTGTTTTACGACAATTTATAACAAAAACTCCCAGGTATAGTGTACATGCAATATTAGCATGAAGATTTATTTTACAATTTTTATTTATAATACAAATTTAAAGGAGTTGTTTCGTAATATCTCAGTAATATGGCGTGATGCCATCAGACATATTAATTTCACTTCTTTGTTAATATGTTATCATAAAACGTCATTTTCATAAGATGAAACGAAACTCTACTCATAAAATTTAATGCTGTTTTAGAGTATTTGTCCTTTAGAGTAAGAGTTAATTGTTATAATCAGCACTTACTAACATAATTAATATGTCGAATTTGTTAAAATTATCATCAAAATGTTACAAATAGGGTATATACTCGAACCTTTATTGTGGGTAGTAAAATCTATCACAAGCAAATTACATAAAATAGAACCCTTTCAACGATCTAATTTCGATATATAGTTCGTCTACTTTACATAAAGAGCTGAAAGTTCCCAGTATAATAGTTTAAAAATAGATGGCGAAAAGGAATATATTGAAAATTTCAGTCGAATTACTTTATTCTGAGTGAAGTTTAAAAAACAGTGTAGTCTCGATTTGCATTACTACCGTTGTTACGATAATAAACAAAGTCTCGATTGTCCATTTTTAAATTATTAAATGCCGATCGTGTTTCAATCCGTTCAAAATCACAACCACCTGATATTCTAGAGATTTCATTATGGCTTGTCAGGTGAATAAATGTATAATTAATAATTTATATAACATGTGAGACTAAAAGAAAGATCTGCAAAAGATAGATTTAGCTCTTACATAATGCATCTTTAATATGCAATGAAATTTAAGTAGCGTTATTGGGCATACATATTATTTAGCAAAATATTTAATCAACCAGCTTTCAACTTCTTCAACGTGGTATCCCATCGGCCCCCGCTCTCCTTGGTACACAATAGCGCCATCTAGAACGATATAGAGTCGTTCATATAAACCACCATACCAAGCGCATGCATCATTTTGCATGTTATCCAATACCACGGGACAGTCGATCCCAGCTTTCAGTAGATAACTAGCCGCTTTAATTCGGTCAGCTAGTTTTACATGTTGTGATACATCATAATTATTACTGAAACACCATCCATCGGCGGGATGAGCTTCTTCTATATAAACCGTTAAAAAGTCACATTCATTAGCAAAGTCTCGTACTATTTCGTTAAATTTCCGTAACTTTGCCATAAACGGTGGTCAGGTACAGCTTCCAAAATTTAAGACGAGTGGTCTGCCCTTTTTCATGAAATCTAGCAATAAGTGTGTTTGAGACCCGTCTGCTGAGAATACCTTAGGATTTGGCGCCTTCCCTCCTGGATCGGCTATTTTCCATATGTCCAAATAGCGAGATCGAAACATCTGTTTAATGCAAGCCCATGTGTATAAACTTCCTGTCCAGTCTTCTTCTTTAAAACCCGTATCGTCCATTACACTTCCAACATGACTGATCATATTCCGTTTAATTGAAGGAAATAACAATGACAAGAACAACATAAAGCTGTGACGTAATAGCTCATACATCAATAGTAAAATATTCCAGTATTGTCTCAACGCCATTATTTACATCTATTCTGAAAGCGAAAGGAAATGTTGGACTGTTTTCAATAATTGGCATCATGTTATCTGATCATGCAATATCTTCAATTTAGTTTCTTTACGGTCACGTTTGAAATCGACACCCCGATGCAGGACCACGTGAATAATTATAATGTATAGCCCCTTAGATACAGGATGACAAATACCAGGAGATAGAATGTTTTACAAGCCATGTCCATACCCATTCACTTGAAACATACTAAACATGTTATGGGCCTGTCACACTATAGCGTTTTATAGAGAACTTATTCCGACGTATGAAATATCTAACACGCTGTCGCGTACCTCTAACCTACGCCTAACGTGTTAGCATTACGTCGGCCGCGTTCGGCGTACAACAACTTATACCATGGTATTTCAGCGTGCTCGTAACTTGTTAAAAACGTACCCATAACGTATTCAACGCACTCCAGCTCGGAGCAGAACAGTTGGACGTTAAACCCCATTCCATTTCCACACCAGCGTGTTTGCTAAATTTCTCATACGTCGGCTATACGCCAATGTGTGACAGCCCCATTACACCCATTTGTGCATAACCGTCTAAACGGAAGTGATTCATAAAATAAATAAATTCATGTTTACTCTATGACTAAAGAACCACATTGTAATCTTTATTTTTTGCTGTGAATATTAAAGACATTTTATTATTGCCCTTCTAGCCTTTATGTCCATTCATACCTGTTCAATTTTCAGCTTAATGTAATATTTTTATCTATAAAATCAGATTATAATGAGAAAGCTATACCTGTATTCACCTACGACGATATCCTGCTTTATTAACGCTTAAATCAATAATGAGGCTACTGAATGCTATCAGTGAAGTACTAGATTTTTTGACCTACTAACGGTCGTGTGTAAATAATCCCAGTCATATAAATATTATGTTACAGATAAAATGGGATAATAGCCAAAGTAGATAGCTTTATTATAGATAAAACACACTTATTTATTAATACTCGAAAAAGTAGGACAATGTTGGTGTCACGGACAATATATTTAACTGCTTATCGTACCGTATATTTTAAATCACGATTTCTCAAGTCCCATGCCCAGATTGGTAACATCAAAATTTGATTTATGTCCACGCCCGTCAAAATTAATTAATTTCATGTTCAAAATTGGAAATTAAATGGCTAAGACGGGTATACACCATACAGTGTGCAATGAAGGAAATTTTTCCCGGACAGCGGCGCTATGGCCCACTCTTATATCGAATTCCAACTTCCAATGGGTCTTTTGTGGCAATGCGTGCATCAAAGGTGAAAATGAACCCCTTACAAATCCTCTCTCTAGAAATAATAATGATATCGCAAGACATCAATAATTAAGAGATTGGAGTGGTTTAAAATTCTAAAAACTCCTCGGATGTGCTTCTGATAGCCTGGATATTTCACAAGTACATTATTTAAATATTGTTTGTTGAAATTATTCGAGAATCGGTGGATTTTTTAATGTTGATCGAGACCTTCGTGAATTGATTTCAAACGTACAGTCATCGTTAAAAAAGATTACTTTAAATACGTTGAAAGTTGATGAAACTGGATCGGAATGTTTCTCAGTATGTTCAACTCTCCGTGACAATAAATTGGTCTGAGAGACTAATAAACTTATATATTTGTATAAGAATATTACACTTCTGGCAGATATGGTAATCCATACAACTAATTAAGAACACTGTCCTTCCAATGAAGACCTTGATGACCTTTTTAAACTTAACATGGCTACTTATTTACTTTGTTGTCTCAGAAATCACGGAAGTCACTCGGTTGTAATGTAACCTACTGTACACTATGCTGCCCTACAAAAGAGAAAGGCAGTATATATCTGCAAAATAGCCATTTTGAGAAAATAGACTTTAAAGTTTGTCACTTTCCCGCACTAATAGTTTTTAAACAAAATGATGCCCGATTTTCATATATTTCTCTGTGGGACTGAGATAATGCAGATACTGCCCATTTTAGGACTCTGGGCCATTGCTGGTGCCCATAGTATAACCCAGGCGAAAAGCAATATATGTTCTCTAATTGTTTCTATGATGAACGGACGGTTTACAAACTGCATATTTAAGCATAAATATTCTTCTAAGCATAGTTACTGTTTTTCTCCATCGTTATACCAGGGGAATTTACATTTAATGCCAACACCTCGTCTTAAGCTGGGGGTCACGGTGGCTAAGTGGATCAGACGCTGGCTTGCTAGCCTGGAGGTCGGGTGTGCGATCCCTGCATTGGCCGAAAAAGTTCATCCAGATTTTCCGGCGTGATTCCCCCTTGTCAGTGATGCAGGGCCTGACACGTACAGCTGTCTAGTCATTCGGATTGGACGAAAAACCGAGGTCCCGTGTACACATTGGCGTCAAGATCTCTTGACAGTTGGAATTCGATGTAAGAGTAGGCCGTAGTGCCGCTGTCCGGCAAAATTTCCCTCATAGCACACTGTATGGAGTATGCCCGTCTTCATTAGCCAAGATCGGGACAGAACAGTAAGACGTTAAACCCCATTTCATTTCATTTTGTCTTAGGTTGTCAGACAAGTACCAAGGAGAACGACAGTCTCTTCACCTACTGCTTTTATCCTCGGCAATTTATATTTACTGCCAAAATCTCGCTTTGGGTTATCATAGATGTATCAAGGAGAACGATAGTATCTACATTTACTGCTCTCCTCCTTGGTTATACCAGGGCAATTTACATTTACTGCCAAAGTCGACACTGTATATCTCTTTACCGAATTGAGATACAGCAATGAAATTTGTACGTGTGATAGATCAGCTACTGTTGATCACAACGATACAGCACGGCAGTACGAGGAAGGCCCGGGCGATCGCACCCCATTCTGATCGATTAACTCCAGCATGGGAGACTGGCAGGGGCTCAAGCGACTTCCGCTTCCATTTACAAAAAGGGTTTGACGGTTTTCTCCTCTGGTATTCTTTCTTTCATTCATTACCCGAAGGCCGCTTTTTATATTTATATATAGAGTTGTATGAAATGTTCACACTCATTCGACAAAACAGGTTGACTGCTACATATCCTAATGATTTGAGTGGCTAAGGCCTGATTTCCACAAGTATCATTGACTTCTTGGGTAATGCATGCAACTTTGCACAATAGTACTATGATATATAATGATCATAAAAATATGGCTCCACAAAATGACGGGCCCTGGTGGATGACATCTAGAATTCCAAAATGGTCATCAAAACAACCTATTTTTGTTCAATTCTATTGGGACAGCAAACTGTCTAATAGTTTAAAACGTTTGATTTGCAGGTCTTGTAAAACTTTGACTCCGACTTTAATTATTTGCATACCAACAGTATTGTACATTGATTGTCTCATGTATGTTTATTACAAAACAAAATTGTTCAGGTGTTGTCGAATATCCAATACTAGTTTTTTTACTTCTATTGAGGTACTGTTCTTCAACGTCCGTTCCAGTATTTCTTTTCCGCCCTCTTTTACCAACAAAGGACAGTACCTATTTGCTGTGAAAAAAAGAGAGAACAGATCAAAAGTTGGTAAAAAGAAGGCGGGGTTCCAGGAGATCCACGGTACCCTTCACAAGACAAGTTTTTCTGGGCTTACCCATTTTAAATTTCACTACAGCTAAAATATTTACTTCAAATTATAATTAGAAAAAGTAAAGAATCTTAGCTAAGGTACTTCCATCTCGTTTCTACCCTAAAGCCAATTCAAATGGCGATGTTTGTGGGCGTACATAAATTACGAAACATTTTTAGCAGATTATTCTGAATATATTAAACTTAATGAATGTTATTAATTAACTAACCATAGTAACCACAAACATGTTCAATGGCCCATGCAGCCCACAATTGTACAGCAGGAATATGGTAACATTTTAATAATTGAAAGAGGGGACAAAATGATCTGAAATATAACATTAAAAAAAAACCCATGAACTTTAAAATGTAGCCACAGGCATGGGTGTAAAGATAATACTAGGACTAAAGAGATAAATATTTACACGACCGTAGCCAACGGAAAAGTAAATAACAAAGACATAGGGGTTTCTATTATGATATACATTTAAAAGGAGTGGTCGGTAACTGTAGCATTTATAACGCTGCACAATAAATATAAAGACCATATTTAATCAACATGACTGGCTACCGGTCTATATAAATGAGTTATTAATATTAAAGCTTTGATCCATAAATTCATTTAGATTTCGTTTTCATTCAATAGGTGGTCCATTTGTAACTTGCGTCAAGCAAATCTTCAAATAATACAAACGACATTTAGTTGAATTATTCTACCCCCATATTAGTCATATAGGGTATTTAGAAATGAAATGAAATGGCTAGGGTTTAAAGTCCTACTTTTCTACACCAACCGGGATGATGGAGAATGGGGGTATTTAGCTATATGCACAGGAGTAGGCCTCGCCACGCGACGACTACAGAGGTGTTAAATCTTAAGGGAAATAACCTCTCCTGGATTAACCATCGCCCTAGCATTGTTCTAGAATAATTTCAAATACACTGGAAATTACCGGAATTTATTGAGGTTTATTTTTTATAAACTGGATTATTTTTATAAACTGGATTATTTTTTTATAAACTGGAATTTTTACTGAAACTGGATTGGAAACTATCAGGCAAATAGAATATTTTCAAACAGCTAAATGGCTATATACCACTATCTACAACAAATTCTTGTTTCATGACATACAAATTCCGAAAAATCAGAATCTTTGAGAGATTTCGAGGAAATTGTGGACTGCAGATGTTCAGGTCTTCAGTTCCGAAAATTTTGATAGTCACTAATTATAGCTCTTTTAAGCAAAGCCATAATCGGTACCTGCGTCTGTGTTTCAGGACATTAAATGAGTTGGAAAATAGGGATGAAATTCGCATGTGAAGCAATCCTAACAACTAGGCCTTTGCTCAGGTTTCCGAATTCTAAAAAGGGGTGTTGGATATAACCATGTAGAAAAATGAACACATGTACGAATAAAACCTTACTCATATTTCACCAATCCACCTCTGTGCTTTTCCCAGTTCAAAACTGTGGTCATCTGAAAACATGGAATAATGGAAAATCAGGGCACCAAGCAATACATTTTAACAAATCACAGATAATCCCTTGCGTCTTTGGATATAAAAATTATGCTGATCTGCCAAACTTAGATTTCAAAACTCTATACAAGGCAGACAGACCCATTTTTATAGTCCCCCCAAAAAACACAGAAGCGCTACAGAGGAGGGCCTTCAGAAATAATGTGATGACATCAATCAGATTTGGATTCTTTAAAAAAAAAATACATGGGATTTGTCTCGGTCAATACCGGTATCGAACCCTGGACCCCAAGTTTTCCGTCCTTCAAACACATGTCAAAGTTGTCTTCTGGGAATATATTTGGATATATTAAAGCGAGAATTTCATATTTTCTAAGAAAGTCAAAACATAATTTATTTCTATGTCTTTTGCTCAATAGGTTGTCAAGTCACTATTATACGATCATAGGTATCATTATCACACTTATAAAATCATTCACACCTGAAATAATAACACAATTACCTCCCTTGTTTTTCTATCCCCCGCCCCCATGGAATAGCTATCTTCAAACGTTTGAATTTGAAGTTGAAAATGATATTTTTGCCAATTTCTCAACTGGCAATATTGAATTATAGGATTAATAGGATTATTCTTTAACAAAGTAGTACTGTTTATAGATACCATCTATTTTAAGGCTTTATTTTAATAAATTGTAAAAATATAACTTAAAAATATGAAATTCTCGCTTTAAGCTTCTGAACGCGACCTATGAGATAGTTCTCAGCCTAAGAATTTGTCTTTCCTTCCTTTCAAGGAATAATACATTAGTTTTAAGAAGCAGCGGTATTTCCTACACCATTTCGGGTGTAGTGTAAAACACGACATGATCTTCAAACATTCGCCAAATATTAAAAAATATATGAAGATTATACAAAATAAACAACTTACAAGTTTATCTGAACAACTTTTTTGTAGAGTTTCGTTTGTTGTCCAAAGTTCATCACCACCGCTTATTAAATTTGCTAAAATGCCAGCCGAGGAATAACCGGTCAGTGGTTGGTCTGAATCCAGTAGATGTCTACACAAAGCATGCAAATAAATCAATTAATAAAATAATACATTTCAGAGCACATCATTTGGCATAAAGAAAAATCAAAATGCATGACGTGTAAAATATTTAATTCAAACACTAGCTTCTGTGGAATAAAGTATAGCACATACTTATGGAAGAATAATTACTGATTTATTTAGGCGACTTTTCGAAGAGTATTCTCTCAACGTTTTCAAACAAGTACAGTAACAAATTTGTAGGGCAATCATTTATAGACAAGTAATAACAACAAATCAGAAACCATGCATGACAACAACAAGATCAAAGGCATGAAAACAACATGATCAAAGGCATGGTTTCTGATTTTTTGTTATTACTTGTCTATAAATGATTGCCCTACAAATTTGTTACTGTACTTGCTTGAAAACGTTGTGAGAATACTCTTCGAAACGTCACCTAAATAAATCAGTAATTGTTCTTCCACAAGTATGTGTTATAGTTTATTGCTCTATCCAGTTACTAAATTCCTCTAAAAGATCATTAGCTTCTGTGGATTTAAATTCATTTGGTACCCCCATAAATGACGCGCGAAGTCCCCGAGTCTCATTATCCACTTTCTAGCTAAAGCTTTTAGCTGTACGGAGTCTGGCATATCTACTACTTTTTGCATTATAGTATGACAGTTTGTCGGATCTGGTCTCCACAAATGTTTTGATATACTTACGTAACCAGTTCAATAAAATTGTCTTTCATAAATTCCTTCCTTAACTCTTTAACCTCCGCGATATTATTCTGAAAGACAAGACACGACTAATGTGATTTATTCCAATAAAATGTTATCAATATCTAATTCAGGGCTATGAGAATACTGCAGAATGCGGGATCGTGGTTTGTATATACCTAAAATACTTCGGTAGGAGAAATGTGTATATTTACACAATAATAGTTAAAATGATGACATATCAAACAGCACCAACTCTAAAATCAATATCAACAAATTCCGTAAATTATAAACTCTAACACAAACTTTAAAAGTACACATATCTACCGAAAGAAACCACGGAATGCATTCGAAATTTGGTAGAGTTCTTTATTATGCCTAGTGAACATTCTAGTCATACTTTTACAAATCCACTAATTTGTCCAACAGTACGTTCACAAGAGTTAATTTAAACGCTAATCGGAAATAATTTCAATATATACCATCGAAATATTTGAAGATGTATAGTATAATAATTCCAAAATATACAACTGATTTTGTGAATTTTGTTATGGTTCCTTCTTGAGCTATAATCAACAAATATTTTCAAAACTCCCATGAGAGTCTTTTCCTGTATCGAACATATAAACGGCGTTCGAAATTTATCATCCACAAATTGTGTATTGTGCTACATTTACAATTGAAAAACACTCAGACGTTCCATCGAGAACTTAGTCTCGTTTCGCATTCACTAACGTTAAAATATGACCGGAAAAATAACACTACAGAATACATTTGAATATGCAATTGAAATTGAATTGTGATAGCTTCGGTTCTTTCTTTTGATCAAATGAACAGTCTAGATATATTTAAACGGGCTAAACTTGAATCATGAAACCTGGACAGTAATCATAACTGTCAGTGAGCTTTGGACAGTCCAGCAGTAATATTACTAATACATCAAAGCCCCGTCTGGTGCATAATACACACGGTTTTTGTTTTATCAAAATAAGAAATTTGTCTGCGATATCACCTCGGTGGAAGCGGACGTAAAATACAACTAACTCACACACACACAAAATACGAAATAGTTATATCCTAGTGATTTTCACTGACAATATTGGTGATATTTTAGGATAGGCTTTTGTTTGGACTATATATACTATTCAAAAAAAGTAGGGGATATTTGATTTTGGGGGCATAATACTAAAATATGCAAATGACTACGAAAAAAGTCACTATAGAACCTAACAGAAGAAACATGTCCAGTTACATGTGACGCCCAAACGCACCAATAGCTACCGCATGGAATGCAGGTGATGCTTGGGATCATCATGGGGGTCCAACCCAAGATTTGCACGACTCTGACTTTGAATGTTACAGTCATTGTGGCATTGAATTCCAGGGTGGAAACATCAGTTTAATTGTTTTAGTGACCAGAAAACAAATTTTGATATGCGTCGGCTTACCCAAAATGAAAGGTTACGTGCCCTTGGCATGCTACAGATCGGCACAACACAGGCGGTTGTGGCGCGGACGATGAATGTTTCTCAGTCTGTCATAAGCAGGCTATGGTCCAGATACCGTGATACACAATCTGTACAGGACAGACCACGCTCAGGTCGACCAAGGGCGACAACTCAAGCCCAGGATCGATTTATCCGTACCTTGGCCTTGAGAAATCGTGTCATCACAGCAAATCAGATCAGCGCTCGTCTTCAAACAGACACTGGTGTGAGAGTGAGTGGCCAGACGATTCTGAATCGACTGCATAGGGGTCACCTTCGCGCCCGACGTCCTCGCGTGATCCCTTGTTTGAGAGATCATCACATTCAGGCAAGACGTCGTTGGTGTAGGGATCGTCAACACTGGGATAATCGACGCTGGAGCAATGTGATGTTTTCAGATGAGTCAAGGTTCACTGTTGATTTTTTGGACAGACGTAGGAGGGTGTGGCGTCGTCGAAACGAGCGCTTCCAAGACGTTAACGTCATCAGACATGATCGATTTGGGGGTGGTTCTGTTATGGTGTGGGGAGGCATCACTGTTGCTGGAAGAACGGCTTTACATGTTGTTGCAGGGCGTGTTACAGGCCAGTACTACCGGGACAACATCTTGGCAGTCCATGTTGTGCCGTTCGCACGACGTCATGGCCGCCGTTTCATCTTCCAGGATGACAACGCAAGATGTCACAGGGCCAGGATCGTTACAGGTTACCTCCAACAACAGAACATCACCACATTACCTTGGCCAGCACTGAGTCCCGACCTCTCCCCCATCGAGCATGTCTGGGACATGCTTGGACAGAGGTTACGTCAACGTCAACAACGTCCTGCCAATGTCCAAGAACTTGCTGCTGCGTTGCAACAGGAATGGGACAATCTGGACCAAAATGACCTTAGACGTCTCATTAGGAGTATGCCACGTCGGATCAATGCTTGTTTGGCAAACAGAGGAGGATTTACCCGTTACTGACTTGGTTGTGATGCTGTGGTAACTTTGCTGTTTGACCCCGGGTATCATTTTACCGTTATAATGGTCAGTCTGTGCCTTACTTAGTCTAACGATCATTTGGAATAAATCGATGAATGTGAACTTCATTTCATTTTGTCATTTGTTTCTTCGTCAGTTTCATTAGGTGACTTTAATAACACTTAAAAATCAAATATCCCCTACTTTTTTTGAATAGTATAGTTGTACTCTTAATGCACATACATATAGTTTGTATTTATTATGTTTTTTTAGCCAATCAAATAATGGGATATTTTGCCGTAAATAAAATCACATATATACTTACAAGTGTTCCTAATGCCGCATTTATTATAGAACTGTGGATTTCGTGCAGTTCATAGGGAGGATGTCCCGAAAGTACCTATTGGATATCAGAGATGGAGAATATTAAAATATATTAGGCATGACAAAGTTTTTCAAATATCTATTTAGGTTCTAAAGGATTAGAGACCACAATTATTACAAATGTGTCTGTTTTCTACCACTCGGTTACTAGATGTTTTGGCTCCTTGTAAATAAAAAAAATGAAAAATGAAAACGTGAATATTTTATAATACATGTTTTGAGGTCTCATCAACACAATAGTTTGGGTTTTTAAAGAATAACACATGCTGATGTTTATTTCTATGGTTTCCTTCCAATATGGTGGAAGAGGTATGTTTTCCCTGTTCCTGCTGTTATTTTACATGTACACCAACGTATACACGGATGAACCTCAGCTATACGTACAAACGATTAGACACACTTATCTTGTCAGCTTTGGACAACTGATCACGAACTAAAAAAATTTACGACGTTCTCCTCGACTCTCTAGTCTAACCATAAAGGGGTTCATAGGGTAATGGCAACGTTATGCAAAAACCTTTCGATATTCTCAGCGACCCGGTTTAATCGCAAACCATTGAAATTGGCTTTTAATTAAATAGTCACAATTTACACTTGGTGCTTAGTGAAATCCATGTATTTACTGACCCCAGTGGAAAATTACTAGTGAAATTAAAATCACTAATGCATGAACTATTGATCCAGAAATTGTATATGGTCGTTTCGTGCATATATCACCTTTCTCCTTTAATATACACAGATTGACACACGTGGAACGAGTATAAAATATAATTTCACCTGTAACAAATCCATCAATACTTCCATACCATTTTCACGAACAATAATTTTACAGTTTCCAGGAGCTTCATCTAAAGACGTAAAAAAGAAATTAGAGTAGTTTTCGAAATAGTTTTACGGCCATTTTATTGAAAGACGGTGTATCGTTTAATTGATCGCCAGGTTTCAATTGTTTTGGTGTTCCGAAATAAATCCAACATTTGAGGCGATATTGAAGTTTTGAATAATGGTGTACATACATCGACACGAATAGAGCAATGCTGGGGACTGTAGGTTGCGGATATAAGGAATTAAATTTTAATCAGGAGAAAGACAATATCTCTCGACACTGGTTAAAACGGTCAACATATTGTTCCATGAGATAATCAAATTTTTCGTGGTTATCCAGGAACCACATTAAATAACCTACATTGGTAACAATACAATATGTTACTTATGTGAATTCTTCGAATCAAGCCGTATCAGGATATAATCCGGAAAAGTGCACAACACCCGTTACATTACTTAAAAAAACCAAATGATGCTACATTTTCGACCTGTTTGTCAACAATAGCATCCGAACCGAAATACAGCAGAATATAAAAGATTAAATGCTAAGATAAACAAAGAAATTAGATACCCGTTACATTCCAAAATATTCTGGTAAGACATTTCAGTTCTTCGTTGAACATTCTACGAGTTATTTTGTGTTTAATATGGCGCATCAATGTTCTGATATATCCACAATTCTTTTCATAAAACGGCTTTTCATCGTTGAACATCTGAAAATAAAAGGAATCGTCGAAATTTAGACCAGTTATTATATTATGCTTTCAACATAATTTGGGAGGAGAACTGTTCTGTTGGTGGTGAAGTTTTGACTTCGTTTCGAAAAAGTGACTAGGATCTTTCAAATGATCAGAAGAATTTATCAAAATGTGAAATAAATATTGTTTACTGGTTCAACAAGTTGCGGATGAGTGACACAGAAGCCCATTTCAAGCCCATTAATGTTATCTGAGTGTACTCTGTGTTTTGTAAATAACGTCTGTTGGGCTCCAAATGAGCTAGACAGAATACGCTTAAAAGGGCACGGTGCTTCATACATTTTAAACACAAAAGTAGAATAAGCACTTTTTGAATTTCTCAAATGATAAGGCATCACAAGCCGAGGGGTCATTAAACTGTAAATGGTGCAAACAATGACGTTCATGTTCCATCATAGTTCTGGAAAGCGTAGTGCAAGCAACAGCCGTGATCAGGTGTGCATCATGTTATGGTAGCTAAGTCTCTAACTCAATATCATCTAAAGTCTTCGACATTTAAAACAAGAATTATTTGTCAATTTAAATCAACATTGATGTTGTGATCTTACCGGCGGGAAAAGATGGGCTTTTAATATCCAATATTTAAGACAAAATACACATTTTACCATTGGTACACGCATCGTGTACCATAATGCGTTTCAGCGTCGTTTGTAACAAGTGACTCGAAAGACAATGCTAGACATATTCCAAAAGTCATGTCAAACGGTGATTGCCATTCGATTGAGACAACTGGTGTATTTCGCCGGACATAACTGATTAGAAATTATAGTAAAAACAGAAACGATTGAATGTAAATCAGTTTATATACATTCATATTACATTGTTATATGCGTTGGGATCCATTTTATATGTCCCAAAAATTAGTGATTTAGCTCCGTTAAGTCATATAATATGAGACATGAAAGTGCTCCGATTATCTGGACGGCAACCCTTTACATTTGGTACATCTCTGTGCAATAATGGATTGATACGATACGCCTGTCAACTTGGCGGTTGAAAAAGGCCGGTTGGGAACCAGGTGGAACTTCAGACTCTTGATGATCACTGATCAATATCACATATTGCGTTTATCATGTTGCTTGTCGCGACAGGGTGCATGATCTAGTACCGTCTCTAATTCATGTTACTGTTAACAGTACATAAACAACCCAATAACATATTGCTCAGATTGCAACTGTAATTTCATGATCGAGATGTAAACATGCAAAACGCAAACAAAGTTATGTTTCACAGTGACGTGATGCTGTAATAATGCTGCAATTATTAAGAAGTATCTGGCAACAATGAAATATACATACCACTTGTTTTAACAGTTTCACAAACACTAGATTATAATACCTGTTATCAAACTAAAAAATAAATACAATACTAGTGATCTATTGCATGGAACCATTACCCTTTTTGGAACCACGTCAAACATTCTTGATAACACCTCCTAATGCACAAAGGTAATGTACTGTAGTATACTGAATTTCAAATGGCAACCTGCAATGTTTACATAGTAAGAGGCTTTCGAGGACCTCCTTATATTCCTACCAGCAGCAATGTCGACCATGGTCGGAAACCCAAAACTATTCAAGATTCTGTATCTCATCCACAAGTTTTAAAAGTCAAAGCATTAACGTGTAATACTATAGTCCTTGCGACCATATTTTATCTTTAACTAATTATTTGGTTCACATTTTCTACAGAGTCAAATCACACGTACTTAATGAATGTGAAAGATATATTTATATATTAAAAATAACAATGACGTATTGGTCAAAAGGTCAAACGTTACTATTGTCAAAATATCCACCAAATTCTATCTTGTTTATGACATGTGTTTGGTAGACCAAATAGGGTAATGTTTCCCGCCCCACCCCCTCTAGTCTTTGAAAATAGGAATGTCTTTCCATATTTGGTCAGTCTATGACGCACAAAACTTGGGTGGGGGATAAACGAGGGTGTTGAGCGAAGTTCATCAGAGCTCACCTAGATATTCCGAGCAGCTATCATCTATGCTTTATTGAAAACGAAGAACATCGAAGCCTTGAAGCAGTTTAATAATAAAGTTGTAGAAACGAACTAACATGTAGTTTTATTTACGATCACAAAGGAAACACAACAAGGAAGTCCGATATTACGTTGTAAGAAGATAATTCGGAATTTCGATAGGATTCATCCTTGTAATGTTTTTTTCGTTCTAATAATAGGTCGTGTTTCCGCTTTAATGGACAGTCCTGTTCTGTTTTAAAATGTGGTTGTGCATCCCCGAATGTATTAAGATTCTAAACCAGTTAACCCAAATGACTAACATGTTGGGTGGGATGACATCCACCCCTCAAAGACCAAAGACAACTTTCCCCTGAGTTTCAGTTCTAGGCTTGCAGTACCCCTAACAACACAGGCTTGTTAACAAAATTGACTTGATTTTGCGAAGTTTGTAAAATTGATTACGATTTGGTTTGATAATAGATAGCCAGTGATTTCATATCTAATGATGATAGACCACTCGACCACTTGACCCCCTAATCCCCATCCTATATATATCAGCACGGGGACAATTAAATTTGATTGTGTATTAAATTATATCTAAACCATACAAACCATTCCAACGATGATAGCCTTTGACATTATCTGTAAAACACATTCTACGGCTTCTCGTCGACAAGTCGGATGAACCCGTAAACAATTATCATCCTCTAGTAAGTTATATATACAACTAATGGCTTTAATTCCCAAAGCATATTCCGTCCCCTGCTGCAGGGGATAAACCATTTCCCTGTGAAGTACATTCGCGTGTATTGACTTGATGATCACCTATAAAAGAGCAGCAAAAACGATAATAAATTTCACGGAAAACTTGGATTTTAAGCAAATTTTATAACGATTTGGGATACTTTAAGAAAGCTAACTCAAGGGTTAATCCTCTTCTGACCCCATTGAGAAAAAATGGACCCCTGTCGCTCTTAGGAGTATACAGGCGGCGTGGGCAGGTTTTAGCAAAAAGCATTTATCCGATGTTGACGAAAAGAAATGGGAATACTCGTATCACAAAACAAGTTTCCTAAAAGTTTCAAAAACATCTGATATATAACCGGAAGCAGTATGGTCAGGTTTCGGCAAAAAGGGGCACCAGTCTAAAATAGTAACGCGATCTTGACGACAGGAAAAAGTATCCTCTTTGTGACATAATACAAGTTTCCTGAAAGTTTCAGAACAATCTGACAAGTAGTGTGGACATTTCGGCACAAAAAGGGCTTAACCGTAAACATGTTAATACGATTTTGCCGAAAAGAAATAGGGATCATCTTCGTGCCATAGTACAAGTTTCCTAAAGGTTTATTCAACAAAAAGACAAAACCTCTAGCCTCTAATGCGCTGCCTAGAAGGTGTGGGCGCACTGATGGACCGAAGAACCGCCGGACGCACCGACGGGCGGAAAGTCTTATTGTAATACCACATTAACGCGTTGGCAGCGTTGGCGTATAAAAATGCTATTAATTGAGAGATAAAAATATAGCTAGATAGGCTTGTAACAGCCAACTATCCGCTCGAACCCCTTTAAACATATTAACGTCCAATATTACATTGGAAAGGCGTTCGGCATGAGACGCTGTAAATGTGATTAAGAATGAACACATTGTTCCAAACCTCATAAGTTAGTGAGGGAGAAAAGTTTCAGTCGCTACAAACAATCGGATTTTTGTGCCTGTAAATATTTACATCCGGATTTGCTATCTAATTTTTTTACCAAGTAGTGAGACAAACCCGTATGATAAAAAAAAACAGCAGTCAGTCAGCAAAGGTTACTTACCCTTACAACTTCTTCAATATCGTCCCAACCGGTGCCATACTGGCTATGCATATATATTGCATTCATGGATGACAACAGATACCCATACCGATTTCTGTACCTCTTGAGAATGTTTATAATTTGCTTACCATTGCCAAGTGCCGCAAACTAAAATAGATTTCAAAAAGCATCCAAAGCAATTGATGTAGCTCTAAAAAATAAAACAAATGTTAGACATCTCCTTTTGTTTAAAAAAAGCTAAACCTCTTTGATTTGAGTCAAAATAAAGTACTGAATTAGGTTCTAAAAGAAAGCGGAAGTCGGCTTGTTTACTGCATTTAATTGCACTTCTGGTTTACTTTGTCGACATTGGCTATAGTAGGGTGCCCCAGGCACCCAAAAGTTGAACTCACCAGAGCGAATATTCACGCACAAATGACAAGTGGTTACAGGGTAGACACGCAGCACGAGAATATTCCGGCAAATGGTATATTAGGCTATAAATTCTAAATAGCCATCGCGCGTGAAATTTTCTTAACGTCTACGATTCTGAATAACAGTAATATTTAGCTTTATTAGGTTGTTCCATCAGCTTTAGGTTGTTATATCCTTTTGTTGTTTGTTTCTAATTTGCTTTTTTAGGTTTACTACAATTAATATCTCTGACGCTCTCTGGTTAGGCTAGAATAATACATTTTCCTTTAGCGTTAACAAGGTTCTAAAAACAATTGTTGAGTTGCCTAACGTAGGAGTTACTAAATTAGATTTATTGATAAGGCTACGACAATTGATATCCAAACACTGAGGGCTACTAAAGCAAAAGACAGTTCGGATAATATCATTACCTTTGTCGCTACTCATAACCCCCAACATCTCAAATTCTTTAAAACAATGTACGTGAGCAGGACAACAGGTGCGAGTTTTGTAGGGCCATGTGCAGTAGCAGATCTAGATGGGGTGGGGGTGGGGGGCCAAATCTAGGGCGCCACCCCAGCCACAATCCCACCCCACAATGAATGTCAACAAAATACTGGCAATAACATTAAGCGTTCCGGTAGAACATAGATGGTATTGTATAATTATATAGTTGTTTGCCGATCGTTGTCTCGCTGGAAAGCAGTTTTATTTAAGTTGACATACAGTTTATGTCATATATGATTGTGCCTATAACACTGAGCAACCTGAGAAAATTTTGAAAAATTGAGTCAATATCTTGGCATTTGAGGTCATTGCTGGGAGAAATTCTTGTGGACGAGAGGACCAGAAATGTGAGTCAATTGGACAAAATCTCGAGATCTGCCCCTGTCAATTCCGCCTGTTTTGCAAGAGTTGACAGAACTTTTGTATAGTCTGACGCCCCACGACCCACACACCAGTGCCAATGGTACTACTAACATAACTAGGCAGTTCAGTATAACCGTGAATATGATAGTGCTGATCCAGTATAAGACGACAGAGGAGTGGAAGAATGATGTTATAATTGAATCGAGCGCCGCAGGCGCGAAAAAATTTTTAGATGTGTAACCGAGCTTTTAATTTTTGGGACTGGGCCTGACAATTTTAGTCAATGTCATGGCAAATGGATCCAAATTCTCGTTAACGAGAGGATAAGAAATGGGACAGAATCTTGAGGCCTATCTGTCAATGTCGCCTGTTTTGTGAGAGTAGAACTAACAATTCTACAGTCTTTTGACCCACGACTCACTCACTAGTGGTACTACTAACTGGGCGATTCACTGTAACTGTGAATATGATAGTGATGAGATAGTATAAGACAGAGAAGGAGTTGAAGAATGATGGCATAATGGAATTGAGCGCCGATATGTAACTGAGCTTTTAATTTTTGAGGACTGGGCCTGAGGGCACTTTACCTCAATGGGGCGCTTACTTGGTCTCTGAAAGTGAAATGCCCTGGACTTTGGGGAGAGATTTTGCAGAATTCTGATGGTCAGAAAACACCCCATTAATTCATTTAGTCTGAGACCGATTGCGGTGCGCACTTTTTTTTTGAGACCGACTATTTTTTTGCCATGGGGTGAAAAACATTTTTTTCAAACATGATAAGTCGACAAGGTTATTTTATACTAAAGTTTTGCGTGAGTAGAGTGACGTGTGCAGTGAGCACTTATTTTGATACCGACTGCCCATATCTCACGACTGACTGCACTGATTTTGCGACCGACTAGTATTTGGAATCTATTCTGGCATTATTTGTTTACCTCATTAATTCATTAAGACGGCGATGCATAATTTTGAGACCGACTGCAGTGACTGCACTTATTTTGAGACCGACTATTTTTCTCCCTGGGGGAAATTTTGTTCTTAGACCTACATACTCACAACAGAATAAGAGTGAAACACATTAAGTTGACTAAGTTATTTTATACTAAAGTTTTGCGTGAGTTGCGTGACGTGTGCAGTGAGCTCTTATTTTGATACCGACTGCTCTTATTTTGCGACCGACTGCACTGATTTTGCGACTTCTTTTATTTTGCGACCGACTGCACTGATTTTGCGACCGACTATTTTTTTCCTGGAGGGGTGTACCACCCCCCACACCCCCCACATTTACGCCCCTGAAACCAGTGTTGAAATCAGTTTGTGTCGGCATACCTTTTTTTTTTATCTTTTCATCATTTACCGTGAAACAAAGTAGTGCAGCTTTGCGGTTGTGTTAATAATTTTTTATACATATATATATATATATATATATATATATATATATATATATATATGTATATAAATACTAGCAGGATAGCCGGCTTCGCCCAGGGCCCAATATCTGTGACCTTGACCTTCATAAATCATGGTCTGAAACATTCACGGTGTAATGCTCTTTAAATTGATACCTCATTTGTGGGGACGGATCGCGGCGACGAAGTGTGATGGGCGAACATACATACACACCGCCATCTTTGATTTTATTTATATAGATTGACGTGTTATAATTCGCGAAATATTTGGAAACATTTATTTACGGTGGGGTACCCTATCGTAAAAATTGTCATCCCGTAAAACAAATCAACATGCCATATCAAATGACGCAAATAAAAGAGGTTTGATCAATTTAAGACAACTATTTATAATTACACGATGAATATATAGAGACAACGTATTAAAGGGGGAGACCAACGATTTTCAACAAGGTTTCCATATTGATAAATAATCCCTTCTGTTACAGTTTTTGTAAGCGAGAAATTATTTTTTTATTAAACCGGAAGTGGTGTAGTTGGTTCAACACGCTCACCGGTCTCTATAGTAAGCATACAGATTTGGCTAAGTTTGACTATTAATTTGGATATTATAAATATGGAATTGTGTGTGGGTGTGTGTGTGTGTGTGTGGGTGTGTGTGTTAGTTGTATTTTACGTCCGCAATTCATGGATTTTTTTTAACGTTTAATGCATAAATCCGACGCGTTCATTCACTCGTACTGAACAGTAGGTTGTAGAACAGTACGTTGTGGACCAATTGACGCCACACAGCTTATTGTTTACATCACGACGTCGTGGGGTTTTTTGACACCCGGCAAGTGAGAGACATTTCGTCTGCTTTAATGTTATGGTGCGTGCTGAGTCTGCTGTTAGCGTTTTGATTTATTTCAACGGGCTTGTGGCACATATATATTCAAATAAATATTAAATTTCCAAAGTATGTCAACGTCAGACACCAACGTATCGCAATATAAGATATCTCTTCTATGGGTCTACAGTAGTTTACAGATTCGAGCTCAGCCATTCCCAAGAGGAAATAAAAGAAAAAAAGGAAAAGTCGTTTACCTAGACATTATGTGCCAAAAAGCACGTATGTTATATATTTCGCATGCCCATAAGTTTGGTCTGTTTATGTTGAGAAACACTGTCAGCAAGCACAAAAACAACGAAGCAGACGAAATAATGTCACTTGCAAGCTGTCAAACAAAACACGTGATGTAAACAATTAGCCATGTGGCGTGAATTGGGTCACACCATACTGTTCAGCATGAATGAATTTACACGACGGCTTTGTATACTAAACGTTCAAAAACCAAAAATTCGTGTTTATAATATCCTCATTAACAGCCCATTTGTTCAAATTTTTGACCATGCGACCTACTGTTATATAAATTCCAACTGCTAAGGTTTCTTATACGTGCACTCCACGTGTATACGGGACCTCGGTTTTTGGTTCCATCCCAACGACTATACGTTGTCCCTTGATAGATCCTCTGTCCTGCACCACTAGATCTCTGGGTTAACGAGTTGACGTCTTTCTCACTGAGCCACCGTGGATCCCAAGTTTTCATTACCTTACACCAGCTATTTTCAATAATTAGACCAACGCAAACTGTATCCAAGTCATCTTCGCATTGGAAATTGAACACGTTTAAAGAATTATGTTAAAAGTGCTATGCTTACCGTCAGATCTGGATATGAATCTTGTAAAGCGTTCAAAAACTCGTCGCTGTATTTAGTGTCACTCTCCACTAATCCTAGGAATTTCATTTTACTATGACTTTTTAAATAGAGTCTGCAAATATATAAATACTTAATTCATTATCTGATGATAGGCAGATTTAAATATCCTTTGTCGTTTCATTATTTTATAATTTCTATGGGTTACAAATTTAATGTATTAATAGATTCTTAAAGTATTGATTCTCTTATTTAATTCTACGCCATTTTGAAAAATAATATCCTCAAATGAACGAATATAGAATAGCAGTAATTAATTCTATTTCGAGCCATGGGTTAATTGCACGGAATAGTAAATACTTCCTTAACTTTTGTTATATATATAGGGATCATAGTGTCGTCGAGTCTTTATAACTCTGTTCTTTTAGCCTAAAATCACAGTTCGTCATTAATGGACTATTTAATTGGTTATTTTATGTTATAAGAAAGCCAGTGGAAAAATAACAACTAACAAGAAAGGCGTATTAATTTAGTTTTAATAAATAATTAGCACTGTCAGGTTTTTGACGGGGTTGGGATTGAGGTGTGGGTGGCTTTATGGAAGTACCACTGTTATTCAAATTCAGACCGAAATCGGGGGGTTTTTTTAGAATAGAAGTCATGATCACACCTTGTTATGTTAATCTAATTTTTATTCATATTTATTCCAAAGCTCTATAAAGAAAATATTTTTACCATTACCTGATAACATCTTCTGGAACACAATTGTTTGATATATCCAATGAACTCAAACATGGGTGGGCATCTTTGGTGGTCATTATTTTTACTATGGCCAGATGCATCGGTTCAGTGAAAAGTAAAGATGCTACGTCCAGATACACTAGCTTTGTTAATTCTAATAAAATAGAACCCGTTTTTTCAGGGTCACTGACCTGAACACCAAACATTGCTAGTACCTTTATATTTTCTTTACATTTTCGTAATGGTGATACATCAGTGACTTTGGTCAGAGAAATATCAATATTTTCCAAACAATTTAGTTCTCGAGCAATCACATCTAATCCCTCATTGTTGAACTCTGTGTCACTAACATTTAAAGACCGAAGCGTTCGGAGTTTTGATAATAGATCAAAATTGTTGTTTGGTGTAAATAATATCCCCTCTACGTTTAGTGTCCGCAAATTCCTTATTGTCCATTCTCCGAGGCACTCTAACAATTTGTTTATATTTATTTTCGGCTGGTGTACAATTTCAATGTCCAGTATTTTATGTTTCTTCAGAATACCTAGTGCATCCGGCGTTAAACCAATGGCATTTTTGATTACTAGTCTTCGTAATGTTGTGTTTTGTGGCTGAAAAATCTTAATGGTACTATCATTCAATTTTCGTATATCACTGAGTCTTTCTAGTAATTGTTCGGAAATATTGTGTGGAAGGTGCACATCTGGGTCGCTGAAGGCGTATTGGATGTTTGTTGTTAAAGTAGGTCCAAATTCATTACGAAATGTATCCCCAGATGTGGAATCAGGGCCGCTGTCTTTTAACAGCTGATTTGGTTGACGTTCTTTTTTAAGTTCTATGCTGTCTAGTCTGTTGGCTAAATCCCTGTCGAGAGGTTCCTCTGTGTAATCATCACGTCGTGCCCCAGAATTTGATGACTGCAAACGGCACACAGACTGTATATTATCACAGATGAAACAAATACAAGATGAACGGAGGGTATTTGGCTGGGCATACATTTTGGAATATCTGATATCTTACCCGGAGTCATTAACACATACACCTGTCGAAACCAAGCTCTTTTTCCAACCGCTATACTACACAAAGTTATGTATTAGTTAAAAGAGACTACAATATCTCGATCAAAGCAACAAGTCCCTTTTCACCTTACACATAATCACAACAAATCAACAAGGAAGTATTATATCGCTAACCGGACCTTAAAGCCCAGTAATACATTCCATGAATAACACAGTTTACATTGCTACGGTTTTTTTTATTGAATCGATGTTCGGCGGAATAATCGATATGCTAACATTATTGTTTACCTTTTGTTTTGGGTTGGGTTGTATGTCAACCTGTTTGTGCCGTACTTAACATCGAACGTCTTGGTGACCTAGACTTCTTAATCATAGTCATATTGACATATAAATAGATCTTATGTATTTCTATGTCCATAGTGATTCTGACGTCAATTTACTATATATAACCACTACACCTATAAATTTATAATGACATTTACAATACTTTGCTTATCGTGTTTGGGCATGTTCAGTATATTGATTAACATAAATAGTTATATTCTCGAGCTTATAGTGGATACTTTGTAATATCAAATTTTATAAAAGGCTACAACACAAAATGTTCGTGGGTGTCTGGTGTTGTAATTTGGTGGAAATTTGGAAAAATGTGCATCCCATTTAGAAATGTCTAACACTAGTATGAAAATGTGTTGTTTTAGTCATATCCCCCGTCCCTGATTAATCTGGATTACGTTGAAAGTTAATGGAGCTGGATCTAAATGGTTCTAATAATGTTCAACTCCGCGCGGCAATAAATTGGCATTTGTCTACTGCGAGAGACTAACAAACTCTAACTTTGTAACGAAGAAAGCAGGAGTCGGAGGTTATGCTGGGGAAGGAAAGAACCGTAGAAGGTCCCGAGATGACAGAAAACCGATGCCTTTCTGACCAAGCATAACGGAATACGAGTGCTTTATCAAACTTATAAACCATTTGAGACACACCCGAAATTGATCTTTGATAAAAGAAAAATAACGAATAATAATAACTTGATAAAAGTTATTATCTTGTTAAAAATAACTCTAACACTAACCCCTAGGGGTTAAAAAAAAATCTCAGTTCAAGTTATTTATTACAACACTGGTGCGAAACAACAGACGGCAAGAAGAGAATTTCTTTTAAGACTTTTAGATTTAGTTTTAAGGCTTAAAATGATATATATTTTTACCCATATATACCCCAAACTTAAGACAAAGAAATGTTGGTCGCAAGCCTGGTGATTTACGAGAAATTTCAGATAGGAAATTTCGACTGAATAATGATCAAATGAGACTACAAAAATTCTACATAGATCCTAGTTACTTAATTTCATGGAAGCGGTTATTTTTCCTCAATTGCCTTTCTTTTGCTGTTTTTTTATAATCCCACATTTTCATGTAGATGTATTATGCCATAGCCCCTGGACGTCCGTCCGTCCACAATTTGTTTGTGGAAACTCAACAGGTCACAATTTTTATCCGATTTTAATTTTGACGAAACTTGGGATATAGGTCTGTCTCCCTAAGCTCTCGGTTCCTTTCGATATTGGCATATATCGGACCATAACTTCCTGGATCATGGATCCTGATTGTACGCAAAATCACGTTTTAGCTTGTGGACTCTCTAGAGGTCACAATTTTTGTCCAATATTTTAAAAAACGTATAAATTGATCACCGTTACACCGTTTCCTGTAAATTGGACCAAAACTGTCGGATAAAATGGACGCCCCTCGTATGCAAATAATGTAATAAATATAGCATATCAAGGTTGTGGACCTTCTACAGGCCACAATGTTTATCCGATTTTGATGAAACTTTAAATTTATGTTTTTATCACAAAGATCTTTGTTCCTGGTGATAATCGCGCATATTCGAATATAACTTTCTAGATTATGGCCACTGATTGTTCGTAAAATCACACGTTTAGCTTGTGGACCCCTTCGAAGTCACAGTTTTGTATTGAATTTCTAAAACAGTTTAAATGTGTATCCCCGTTAAAAATCAATGAAGGTTGAGTTTGAAATTTGTAAAAATCTGACCGAAACTGACAGACAAAATGGCCGCTCCTTGTACACAAGGTTGTGGACACTCTAGAAGTCTCATTTTTTATCCGATTTTAATGAAATTTGAAATGTATGTTTATAATCTAAAGATCGTGGTTCTTTATGATATTTTCGCATATCGGACGGTAACTGGATTATTGCCCCTGTTTGTATGAAAAACCACTTTTTTTAGCTTGTGGACTCTCTAGAGGTCACAATTTTTATCCAATTTTAAAAAAACAACTTATAAATTGATCACCGTTACACTCTCATGACGATTGAGTTCCAATTTCGTGAAAATCGGATCAAAACTGCTTGACAAAATGGCCGCTCTTTGTACGCAAATTGTGTAAAAGTATGTAATACGAAGGTTGTGGACACTCTAGCGGTCACAATTTTTATCCAATTTTGATGAAACTTAAAATATATGTTTATGTTCTCAGTCCCTGTCGATATTTGCGCATTTCAGACCATAACTCTCTGGATTATGACCCCTGATTGAGCGAAAGGTGACTTTTGTTTTTAGCCTGTTCTCTATCCATCTCGTGCAAAAGGTGGGCGGGCGTATCTTGCCTGGCAACCGCTGTTTTTTTTTAGTTGGCCAGCTCATCCAAATAACGGAAGACAAAAACACAGTGCAACATTTAAAGATAACACTAGCGTTATAGGTCCTTTTTTATTTTCCACCAGTGTTAACACTGGTATTAACCTAGTTTAGACACTGGTGTAAACACTAGTGCTAAATCGAGGTGCTCTGGTTAAGGCACTAAAGAGAACACCAGTTATACACCACTACAACACAACCTTAACACGAGTGTAACTCAGGACTTGAATTGACCCAGTGTAAGGAACCAGCGGCAGCCAGGCAGGATACGCCCACATTTTCGAGAGATGGATAGAGAACAAGCTAAAAAGAACTCAGCCGTCCTTAGGGCTTAACGGTGATATAATAATACGTTTTTTTAAATCGGATAAAAATTATGACCTCTATAGGGACCACAAGCTAAAAACGCGATTTTTCGTACAATCAGGGGCCATAATTCAGGAAGTTACGGTCCGATATGCGCGAATATCCAAAGCAACCGAGATCGTTGGGTTATAAACTTACATTTCAAGTTTCAACAAAATCGGATAAAAATAGAGTCCACAACCTTGATATACCATATTTTTACGCTATTTGAGAACGAACGGCGGCCATTTTTTCTGTCAGTTTTGGGCAGATTTTTACGAAATTCGAACTCAGCCGTCCTTAGGGTTTAACGGTGATACAATAATACGTTTTTTTAAATCGGATAAAAATTATGACCTCTATAGGGTCCACAAGCTAAAAACGCGATTTTTCGTACAATCAGGGGCCATAATTCAGGAAGTTACGGTCCGATATGCGCGAATATCCAAAGGAACCGAGATCGTTGGGTTATAAACTTACATTTCAAGTTTCAACAAAATAAGATAAAAATTGTGACCTCTATAGAGTCCACAACCTTGATATACCATATTTTTACGCTATTTGAGAACGAACGGCGGCCATTTTGTCTTTCAGTTTTGGGCAGATTTTTACGAAATTCGAACTCAGTCGTCCTTAGGGTTTAACGGTGATACAATAATAGGTTTTTTAAATCGTATAAAAATTATGACCTCTATAGGATCCACAAGCTACAAACGCGATTTTTCGTACAATCAGGGGCCATAATTCAGGAAGTTACGTCCCGATATGCGCGAATATCGAAAGGATCTGAGATCTTTGGGTAATAAGCATACATTTCAAGTTTAAACCAAATCGGATAAAAAGTGTGACCTTTACAGTGTTCACAAGCTAAAAACGTGATTTTTCGTACAATCAGGGGCCATAATCCATGAAGTTACAGTCCGATACATGCCAATATCGAAAGGAACCGAGATCTTAGGGTGGTAATAAACCTATATTTCACGTTTCATGGAAATCGGATAAAAATTGTGATCTGTAAACTGTTCACAAACAATTGTGGACGGACGGACGGACGGACGGACAGGGCCGACGACAATATAGGAATGAATTATTAGTGAGCAGAAATTCGCCCATATATACGTTATCACTCGTTACATCAGTCAGTTATATAAACAGAGACGATTCGTGTTTTCCTTTGGCGCTCGTCACTTCCGATTCTGGAAAACTGTATTACTCAGTTATCGCAGCAATGATCTCTGTGTTAAAATTATATTCGGAATGTGTTTAACCAGCTCTATCGCATATGTGATAATGACTGGCACCAATATTGTCCTTTAACGTGCTTGCTCAACGAATGGGGAACTTTGGTGGATATGTCTGTAATTTGGTGGAAAATCATGAAAATATGTGCATCAGATTTGGAAATGTTTAACACTAGTATAAAAAGGGGTGTTTTTTTGTTTTTAAATGTTATATTCTGTTCACAGTAAATCATGTTTCGCAGTCTTACAACACTAAGTATAACGAAGCATTTCACTGTTAGTTTCAAGTAGATGCAAATCTGTGGAGAAACATGTGACGATGCCTCGTCGACAGGGAATGGGAGGTAACACAGTTTTAGCATGATGCCATACGTTTCTTGTCGTGAGTCCGTCTTCAAATGGAGTCGCGGTGGCTCAGAGGGTAAGACGTTGGCTCGCTATCCTGGAGGTCCCGTGTTCGACCTCGGTTTTGGCCGAGAAAGTTCATCGGGTATTTTCAAGCGTGGCTCAGTGGTGCAAGACATGAAGCCTGACAAGGGACAGCGTTTTATGATTCGAATGGGAGGAGAAACCTAGGTCCCGTGTCACATTGGAGTGCACGTAAAAGATCCCCTAGCTGTTGGAATTCGATACAAGAGTAGAATGTGCCTTAGAGTATATTGAATGTCGTATGCCCGTCCTCATTAAACCAGTAGGACGTTAAAACGTTTTTTGTTTTTTTCATGTTTCATTTTTCCGTCTGTAAATATAAATAAATATGTATATTGAGCGGAACAGCTTAAATGCAAGTAAAGGGTCCATGTTGAGTATAACAATGTACAATCAGCTATAGGTCGAAGACTGAAAGGGGGTTACAGTTTCAAATTAATTTTGGTTAGAAAATTATCTCGCTAATCTTTTTCTTTGTAACACAAGTTTACACCAGTAATGTAATATTTATACCCACACTTTTCCATGTGTGTATTGTAAAATGAAGGTTTTTGGACGTACTGAGAAAATATCTACATTTGTCCGTTCTGTGGAGCATATTGTATTTAAACATAGCTGTATAGGTTCCAATAAGTTTACGCGTACAAAAATGCCTTTGTCCGGGCATAGCAAAAGATCAATTTGATTAACACCCTTCAATAATT